CATCCCAACTCGTTTCGGATTTTACCCCCACGTCCCGAATATCGTGAACCGTTACGTCGAGCGGTTAAGATTTGTGAGCCTCCCAACTGGTGACGCACGGCGTGACGCCGGAACGCACGGACGATCATGCCGATTCTACAAGGCTGGTCATCTGACTATGTCAGAATGAGCTTAAAAATGTAGGTACTTGCTTACACGGCTGAAACACCTGCTCAGAGGGCGCGTGTTTACAATGGTTACTGGCCGCCAATTAATTTGCCGCGCATTTTGCGCTGGGCCGGTAATAATTTTCGCGCCCTGAGTACATTGCAGTGGGCTATAGCTCATGCGACACACTTTCACTAGCGAGCCACTAGGGAACGCGCCAAAGAACAGAGGACACTCACCTGCTGCCGCGATAGTTACTCGCCAGATGCGCGATCATGATGTTCAAATGAGCGTCCGTAGGTCGCTGTCATTCAACCGCTGTCCCGCGTCGCAGCAGACACACTTCAAGCTGCGGGATCATGGCCCAGCGGGCCGCACACGTTCGAATCCTGCGCCCAGCGCGCGACTTCAGGTGGATCTGCCGCGTCGTGCAAACTCCTTCATCTGTTGACGAGAGAGATTGACGACGACAAAGCGCGTCGTTATTCACAAATTCCTCCTTGGATTGCCGCACGTATGATATATGTACCTACTTATATATACGTTACGAATATCTCGCATCACCTAAAATATCCGAGTTCATCCACTCGTTACACAATTCCACATTACCACTAATTATGGCTCACATGGTGCGCTAGTCAAGTCGAATATATCATATTATATATCAGTATATTAGCTTGATTCAAGTCTTGTTATGTGTGTTTGCGAGTGACCGTGGGCTGCCATAGATACATATGTGTGTGTGCATGCGTGTTGCGTGGTTCTGTGCCGCTGCGTGGTGTGTTATGCATGTACCATTGCAGTGTACACGGGTTGCCATCCTGCGCGTCGTGCGTTGTGCGAGCTGTGTCCTCGTCACAGTGTGTAATCATTCAATTCATGTGAACACGGTACCTCGGCCAATGCTGCAAGCTTGCTGCCTCGAGTGACCATCGACTATTAGTACCAACTCCTTCTCTGTATCCGCCCATGATACAGGAGATGAACTTCGATACGTATAGTCATATCAAGACAAGACACGAACTAAAGTTATTTAAAGACACTTATGACGTTACACACGCTACACACACATGCAACATATACCTTAATCAGCAGTCAAATCCTCATTAAAAGCTGAAGCTTGTTACATGCAGCCGATTTTTCATAAATCATTTACAAACAGTTGGAAAAATGTTTATATAGGAAAATGAGAGGAAAATACAGATATGATATCCTTTGCGATCAGGCTCAAAATTTTATTGTTGAAATGATACGCTGGCCCCTGGATGGAGATGAATCTACACCATGTCTAAAAAAACAGCCAAACCGCCTGAAGAACGCCTGTACACATAGTTATTAGTTACCACTGAAATCAGCAGATATCAGCAGTTGATCTCAGAACCCACTAGCACTATTAAAGTGCTAATTAGGTTTGTGTCAAAAAAATTAAAGGCTATCCAGTGTTGCTGTATATATATTATCATGACATTACATAAGCAATGACATGCAATCAAACGAACATTCTGATCAAATACTGCGTGGGGACAGTGGATACGTGTGAACATAATGACAGTTACCCTGCGTGGGCGACAGTGGACAATGTGTGACATAATGACAGTTACCTGCGTGCGGGACGGTGGACATGTGTGACATAATGACAGCTACCGCGCATGGACAGTGGCGACATGTGCTGACGCGAATGACGGTTTACATGCGTGGGCGACATTTGGCACGTGTGACATAATGACGGTTACCTGCGTGGGGACAGTGGCACGTGTGACATAATGACGGTTACCTGCGTGGGGACAGTGGCACGTGTGACATAATGACGGTTACCTGCGTGGGGCGCGGGGACAGGCTGGCATCGTGTGACATAATCGACGGTTACCTGTGTCGGGACAGTGGCACATGCTGACCATAATGACGGTTACCTGCTGTGGGGACAGTGGCCGTTGTGACATAATGACGCGTTACTGCGTGGGGGGACAGTGGCACGGTGTGACATAATAACAATTTACCTGCGTGGGGACAGCTGGGCACGTGCCTGACATAAGACGGTACCTGCGTGAGCGACAGTGGCACGTGTGACATAATGACGGTTACCTGCGTGGGACAGTGGCACGTGTGACAGAATGACGGTTACCTGCGTGGCGGGCACGTGCACGTGG